ACCCAAGATAATAATAATGAGAAAGAAAATATTGAAACCCAACATTTCCTTGTAAGCGGCAGTGTCCTCCACTCGCAATTCTTCCACCAATTTTAACATCCCATTTCGTTTCTCCTTTTAATCCATTCCCTTGTCCGTCCTCTCTTCCACCAACGCTCTCCAGACTCATCCTCCGTACATTCCTCCAACAAATCGATTACTAGTAAGGAAGCTGCCGCCCTCTTTCGTCGGGATAAATTCATACCTCAACAAGTTTGTTTGTCTCACACGAAGCCATGTTAGTGTTCACATTTTACGCGGAAAGAGCCTGGAACTAGCTGCTCCCGTGACTTTGCTCGCGCGACTGCCGGTGAACCATCATCAACTATCACGAACTTTTTTGGCCGTTTGACCATGCGAATGATTGTTGGTGATAGTTGATGATAGTTTTAAGAGAATCAACTATCATCGACTATCATGCGCCGTTTGACCAAGGCTTTACTCTGTGAATATGTACCGCACAAATCATTCATTTTTGCTTCCTCTGAGTTAAGCATGAAATGAGTTTGTCAACAAACGGGTTGGAAACAAAGCTTACAAAATGAGTCACATCTTATTGCCTCTTAAATCTTTACCTACAGGAAAAAATTTGAGAGCGTTCTTTTTTTACTTTGCAAACTGGTTTTCTACCGTTACCTTTCAGAGCATTTTCTCTGGAACTTTAGAGTGCCTGCTATGTTATGCGACAAAATTATTCTTTTCTCAATCTTAGTGCGCAACTTATTATTCTGTGCTGCGATAAAACGTCCGTATATTTTTTCGAGAAATACAATCGATCCTGTCATCTGAAACCCCCACTTCGATGCACAAATTTCAGTAAAATGCGGGCTAAGAAGTTCTTTGGCTGTCCGTAAAAGTCGTAAATACGTTAAGGAAGGGGGCACAGGAGAAAGTAGGGCGATATGTTAAACAAAACTGAAAGAAAGATACATATGAACGAAAACTGTTCCTGCACGCATGCATGTGCGCTACTTACTGCAGAACGAAGATTCATGTTTATGGAGCGAAAAAATTGAGGACAAACATTTCACCTTTTCACTCTTTAGATTGAAAAGAGAAACCTTAGTCAGAACACTGATAGGCTGCCGAGGATTTTACCGACCATTTGTCGCCCAATCGGGCTATGCAGTAAATATACTGAAACACTGACGATGAGTAATAACATTACGTTATTTGGATCAGAATGCAGTTCTGCGTCCACGTACCTAAAATGGACTTTGCGGTTGGTTTACTCAATCATATTTATCCTTGGTTCGTTCGGAAATGCAGTTGTCTGCGTAGCGATTCTTAAACGAAAAGGGACTCAAACCAGCTGTAACATATTTACATTCAATCTTGCGTTCCACGATCTGATTCTCGTCCTCGTTTACGTTCCAACGCAAATGATTATATTTGAAAACTGTTATCAATGGGTTCTTGGAAGTTTTATGTGCTATCTGGCTTACATAATACTCCCCTTGTCACTGTCTGTGTCCATCGGAACTTTACTGGCCATCACCGCTGACCGATATCGTGCGATCGTATTTCCAGTAAAGTCTAAGCTATCCAGGAGGCGGGTAATGTGGATAATAGCTGTCATTTGGGTTGCATCGGCCGTGACCGCCTTTCCCCTTCTGTTTGTCACCAAATTCTATTCGCCTCAGCCTGGGAGAAAGCATTGCGAAGAGGTTTGGACATCGCCAATATTACAAGAAATCTACTGGATATTAATGTTTTGCATTCAGTATCTGTTGCCCTTGAGTATCATTGCGGTCTTAGTGGGCATAACGGCTTATTCTTTGAGGAAAAATGCACTTCCGGTTACTATGGAGACGTGTGCTCGAAGCGAGGTCTTTAGGAAAGCTATTCAACGAAGAGCCAAACAAATGCAGCGGATAAGAAACATGCTCATCGCCCTCGTCTTGCTCTACGCCATTTGCATGCTACCTCAGCACGTGGTGTTCACGTTCTGGTTGAGATACGGGAATTTGACAAATACGAGTTACAGAGAGATGGCATACACCATAGCTAACATCTTCCCAATAGCAAACAGTGCGCTCAACGCGATTGCATACGGAACATTGAACAAGGAGTTCAAGGACGTTTTCAACTTTTTGTTCAAATGCACTTGCTTCAAGAGTAGTGGAGACATTTTAAGGAAACCTACGACTTATGAGACAGAAATTAATGTGAAAAAGAATGAACGCGGTTCATTTCTTGATCACGAATGGAAAAATGGACGAGAAACCATGGTTTCTCCTCTTCCAAAATTGAAAATTAAAAATAACGACACCACGCGGGACTCGTGCTACCGCGGAGAAAATCATGCGGCCGATCAAGGACGTGTAGGTCTTTTAGCCTTTGGGGGCGTGGGCTGCAACAGAAGAGAGAGCCTCCAATATATTTCGTCGGAAGATAGAGAAGAGCTTCCGGAAAAGGAGACAGTCGTGTAATACATACAACTACAGCTTTTATGATGGATATAACTTGACAGATTAGATGGCCTCCAACGACTTGCTCAAACATGGTAGCTTTGATTGAGCAATAATCCTGCGCTAGTACTTGCGATTTGGCTTTCGCAACTACTTCTCTTAACAATATTTAGAAGCAACCTTTCTTATGGTATTAACTAATAATTAACAACTATTCACCTCAGTGTCGGTGGTTAGTGGTGGATATTTACCGAGCCGCGAAGCGGCGAGGGAAATATCCACCGCTAACCACCGACACTGAGGTGAATAGTTGTTTTAGTATATACTAAAACAGTGACATAATATACCCCATCGTCGTTAATTTGAGTGATTTCTTCGCTTGTCACTGATGCAAACCGGGTCGCCATTTTCCCCCGAGTTTCTCGGAGGTAAATAGCAAAGGATATTCGGAGTTTGACCAGCCAATCAGAGCGCGCCTCAACGCTATCCACTGTTTTAGTATATACTAATCTTTAATAATCTGACCGACGAAGAAAAAGTTATTCGAACTTATCGAGATAATGTGTATGTCAAAGGCTATCGAAAAGTAAACAAAATGAAATTAACAACTGATAATAATTGTATTAATTATGATGAGAACAGTAACACTGATGATGATGATGACATGGATGCAGATAGTAGAGATAATGACGAAGGTAACACTAATATTGAGGATGTTCATAACGATAATAATAATGATATAGTAATAATAATAATAATAATAATAATAATAATGATATTGATAAGGAGCCAGCGATGATAATGACGACAATGACGATGATGATAATCTAATAATAACTTCAATCGATGTTTTTAAGCATTCAAGCTTCCCACTCGATAAAATAGATAAACTTTCGTGAAAAGAAATAGTTATTTCACTGTCAAATCCCAGTTTTAAATATTATTCCCGTCAAATCAAAATCAAAGTAATCTATCTAATCTGGTAGTTCCTACAATAACTTGAACATTTAAAGAAAAAGCCATCTCGCCTAGGTGAGAAGAATTGTCGTGCACAATTCGCTGATAAACTCGATTTTGGATTGCAATGTCAATGCTTCTTACTCGTGGTCAGGTGGAATCACATCAGCATCTTTAGTTGGTTCAAGGTAGTAGGAGGATTTTGGTGATCCCTCTAAACGTTAATGTTTTCTGCTTGTAAGACCGTTTAGAAGTGTTTTGGTTCTTGTAAGAAGTTCTTCAGTTTGGGTTATGGACTCTGACTCGGTTGAAGTCGCAACTAGAGACTCCCTTTTAGCCTCGTCAAATAAATATCTTATTTCCTGGACAAATAGGAGTCGAGCTTTCACCTGCTCAGCTGAGGAAACAGATTCCTTTCCAACAAAAATATTTTCCAAACTGTCCACCACAAATGACAAACGCTTCACAGCGGAACTTTCCGGTAGGAGCTGAAACGAAAGTGAGAAAAACATTTTAAACTTGGCCATACTTACGCTTAGCTCATAAGACACTCCCTTTAGCTTTGAAGGTTTAGGGCTAGGTGGGGCGAATGGCGTACCGTTGCCAAGTACGCCAGATTGCTGACTTTTCAATTGAGAACGGTTCAAGAGTCTGAGAGCCAATTGATAGGTCAGGTGTTAATTTTTCGCAAACCGCTGCCAACAGCAATATTGGGAAATTTAGTTTTACGGAATTTTTTTTACGACCCACTTACCAATTTTACTACTTCAGTAAACACCAAGTAGCCACCCAACGCATCACAGAGGAAGACCAATAACAGCCTACCCAACAAAGTGGACGCCTCCGAGACACGTAATACAGGGCATGTTGACAAAATATACTTAATATCTGCAAACTGAAGCCTGGTCTTTGACTTGAGGAGACGCATAGGATTCATAATTTCTTTAACAGCTGCCTGAAAACAAGACAAGCCAAAGAAACCCTGAATACTATTTGTAACACTGGAAAGAGAAGAGTTTAGCGGCGTGAAAAGTTGTTAGATAGTAATCCTCTTCTTTAAGTGACAGGAATAACTCTCTTTGACATTTTCAATGAGGATTTTGTGAAAAATAGAGAGGGGGGAGACAAAAATTTAATCAAGCGGTCGAGAAACATGTGACAGTGGTTGGTGCACGTGCTTCTCGAGGGATCTGGGTAGCATTGTAAGGATGAATTACACCTTCTGCCCCTGCCCCACCGTCTCTTACTAGAAACGTATAGAAAACTTTGTATTCTTTTGAATCTTGACGTTTGTTTACATATTTTGACCCTATCAAGCACAGTAAATTATTAAAAAGTATCTTTCTCAGACACGATTTCCTTTACTAACCTTTAATGAAGCATGCTTGTCCGACAAAGGAGGAACGTGAAACCAGCATAAAATGTTGATACAGCAATTCAATACCTGTCCAACGAGAAAGAATCGTTTTATTTTCTCTTCCCAGCACACAAACTTAAGTGTACGTAAAGTGCAGATGAACTTAATATTTTACCTCCTCTCTACACGATCTCGAAAGCGGCTTCTGTAGAGCTTCTCTTTCCCACGAGGGAAAACACCAAAGGATTTTCCAGACATTGAACAACTCACTGAAAATACAAATTTAAAATAGTTTATTGACTCACATCGCATAATTTGCCATACCAGTGGATTTTTTTTTGTTAGAATCACTACTCTTCAAGAGAAACAAGTTTAATTTGTACACGGTCGTACCTTACCTAAACAAACGCTTGACCCAAAGAAACCCGTTATGTGCCACCGAGCCCGTTATCATTGAAGGTTCTTTTGTTTCGTTCCTATGTCTATTTCTTTCTTTTTCTTTCTTTTTATTTTGTTTTTGACAAAACACAAAGTAGATTTTGTTTTTGACAAAACACAAGTAGATGTTGTCGCAAATGACTTCTCCTGAAGGGGGAAATTCTATTTTTAACTATTAACTAGACACAAGAAACGAATATTCTATCAACAAATTAGTAAAATATGAAGTAAAGAGAAGATAATCTCTGAGCAGTCCTTACCTCGTACTTTTGTTTAGAATATGTGGAGGTCTATTTTTTTGGTCGGTAGAATGGATATCTCGATTGAACCAGTTTTCACCCTTAATCAAATACATTCTACCATCACTACGGCTTTCTCAAATTTACAAAATATTGGAAAAATATTATCATTCCGTAAACGAACTAGTTAACCGTAAGAAAATCTTAACAATAATTTCATTAATGTAGGATTTATATGTGTTGAGTTCTCCCGAATCATGTAAACAACGGCGGTCAAATTTTGGCTTTGTCGCACAGAAACAAGACAATATTACCCATAACAGACCGCTCCTGCGCCTGCGATATCGAAGCATCTACGTGACAGCAGCCTGTTCAAGATTTTGTTCCGAAGATGCTGTTTTAAATTCTCATTTCCCATCATTCTTGTGACAGAAAAAATGAAAGAAAAGCAAGTCTGAGAAATGAATAAATGTTTTGTAAATCAACTTGTACGTTTATCTTGACTACTTCATCAGCATTACTGCCCCGTAGAGAATAGCACAGTAGTCTCGATTATCTGCAGATGCAAATGATAACAGACTTATAGCCATAATGAATAAAACAAAAATTCCTCGGTGGCCAATTAACTTAAGGAAGCCAACCATGTACAAGTTTTGCCTTCAAGTTTATCTTTGCACTTACATTACTAAAGCCTACATCAAATGAATGCTCCCTGCATCGAGGATTTTTTTTAACCTTTCAATTACCGAAACGTATCACTGACAAACATTGTACAGCATCCTTCCTTTGTAATTAAGTCAGACAGACAGTTACAATTATAATTTATGGGAAATACAAACGATTTTTTCTATTTTTGTTTTTCAAAAAGTGAAACTGTTTTCAAAGAAAATGCATTTCAAGCGATGAACTACAACCTTGCAACGAAGTTTAAAGAGGGGGATGAATAGTTATTACTGTCGTCATTTTTTTTTTTTCTAAAAAGGTGAAAACAAAGGAAAGCTACCTTTCGTTCTGTCAACGAGGTAACGCTCGAAACATCAGCTTTGGAAGCTCTTTACCGTGGCCAATTCAGATTATCAACTCAGCTGTTTATAAAATCAAGCTATCTTGTTATACTTCCCCACCGACACAGTGCCGCAGTTTCTTTAGAAGCTAACCCCCCTTATTCTTTTGACGGTAGGATTTTTGATTTCATATCATCTTTATCTATTTGTAATCGATCAATGTTAAACTTTCATATCTAGTCTTTATTGGCCAGGTTGCTATAAAATCGCGACAATCATTTCTGACGTACATTGTGGTTTTTTTGTTTCAATCCAACCCTTAAGTTAGCTTGTTCATGTTTTAGGATAACTCAATGCAGTCGTCTTACGTTATTTAGCGTGAGCATAATTAAACCTAAGGAAAGAGAAAACTCACACTGTTTGTTATAAGAACTGCTATTGCACTTTAATTGTGTTTACCCCATTTGGCGACTGCAATTCAACCTTTCGCAGTCTCTTTCCGATATTTTTTATTAATTTTTCAAAACCTCGAGTTTGACAATTAACTTTACATTTTCTGTACTTTACGAAGTGTATAGGGTGTTCGGTTCCCAGGCTGCAAACATTCACTCAATGGCAAAGTACATACTGAAAAAAAAAAACTCCTTTTTTCCTACCGCAATTTTTTTACGTAAGTACTTAAAATTGGCAAAATGTAGAATCTAGTTCTGCAGTGCTTTGAGTTCTTCCTTAGGAAAAGTAAGAAAGGTTTTTGGCTTTGTTTGGAGTCGAAAGAACTGGAAAAACTGATTGAATAATAGTTTTGAGACCTTAGCACTTCTTGACATAAATGTGATACTGCTGTTAATACCAATGCAGAAAAAAGCTCATAAAAGTGTCAAGAGCTTCGAAAAAAATCACTAAGCTGATTGAATAATAGTTTTGAGACCTTAGCACTTCTTGACATAAATGCGATACTGCTGTTAATACCAATGCAGAAAAAGCTCATAAGTGTCAAGAGCTTCGAAAAAAATCACTAAGCATTTAACAAAAACTCCCCATTTATGAACACTTAACGCAGTTTTTAAAGCCATTTTTCAACTCTTTATGTAAACTGCCGTATATAAGAGGGTTTAAAGCACTGTTAGCGATCGGAAACATATTAGCAATAGTGAAAATGAACAATGAGTACTCCTGCTGTTTCAAGTTGCCATACGTAAGCCAGAAAAACACGACGTGCTGCGGAAGCATGCAGATTGCGTACAAGATGACCAAACCTGTTAACATCTTTGACATATTGATCTCTCTCCTTTGTCTTTGCCTCACGCTAGCTTGTAGGACAATGGAAACTGAATTTGCGTCGTTGTTGATGGACGAAGCACTCGGCATGACACGCGCGCGACTCTGTTTCACCTTTACGATTGTCGCAATGGATAGAATGATGATAGCCAACAATGGAATGGCGTACTGGATAAGAAATATAAGAACCCAGTAAACTTCACGGTATGGCTTGTCAACTGGCCAAATTTCATCACAGAATACCCTGTCCTGGTACTCTACAGTCTTCGCTACAAGAAGGACTGGTAGCCCTGTTAACAAAGAGGTCAGCCATATGACAGATATCACCACTGCTGTTGTTTTGTAATTCATTCCAATGCGCAAATGAAACGGACTCGCCACAGCTTTGTAACGTATCACCGCGATACATAAGAGGGTTTCCACAGTAGCGCAGAGGCAGGCTGGTAGGACTGTATATGTGAGCTTACAAATACTGTCACCCATCTCCCAGCTGTATTTCTTCTCGAAAAAGGAGAGTTGTGTTGGGGCGTAGAGCGCCACAAATGCGAAATCAGCCGCAGCAAGGTTTAACACCAGCATATTCGCCGTCGTTCGTAATCTCTGCTTTAAAACGATAGCTGAGCATACTGCGCCATTTCCAACCACACCAAGAAATAAACTTGTTGAGAAAAGGACTCGAAAAACCCATTTCATAGTTGGCGTGGTCAGGTCACTCCACGCATCAGATGCAGGAGTCGAACTACTGTCGTTCATGTTTCGGTTGCGCGCTTTATCAAGAAACCTCAACTGGAGAACGTGCACAACGATCTCGTTTCTCCTTTTTAAACTTGATGTCTTTACACGAGGGGTCAACTGATAACAAACACTCAAGTACTAAACTTGGAAAGTTAAAGATATCCCACAGATCTTGAAAAATTATCCAGCAAAATTTGCATGCACTTTACTCGAAAGCTTTATCGCTGTGGCTTTATAGCTGTTAAGATGACGCCCTCTTTACTAAGAGCAAAAATTGTAATGAAGATGTATTTAAGGAGCATACGTGATGATTATTTGCATTTAGATCACTATCATGTCTCCGCGTCCAATCAAACACTGAATCGTAGTCTCAAATAATGTACATAATCACTATGTATTTGGAAAACTAAGTCGATCGGATATGCGAATAGGACTTGAATGTAAGAAATCTGTCTCCCTAACTCGCACTGAAAATTTCTATAAATTCAAGATCAAGACTTCTATTGTTAGGAGATATACAATCTTGATTACAAGAAGCAGGATTCTTGAAATTGTTTCCCCACTGATGGAACTAGTGGATATTTGAATAAATGCGTACCGTAAATTTCCCTATAGATTGAATAACGAGCTCATCGTCAACTTGATATAATAATCCCTAAACCGAAGTGTCGGAAACTTTAAATATATTTTCCTATTCTTATTAAGTTGTTTACAAACGAAAATGACTGTGTTTAGGTTTGTACATACACCTGGTTATAAAAGCCGAAGTCCTCAATGATAACCACTCGGAGGCTCGGCAACTTAATCTTTTAAATCCTCTAAGACATCTATTTATATTAATTACGATATCTAAAATCAGAAGGCGTCTTAGCGTCTTCTTTGGAAAATAATTGAATAAAAAGCATCAAGGTTGATGAAAATGAAATAAACAAGACTAAGAAACAGGCAATATGCTATCCTCACAGTCAGTTAGCTTGAATGTTGTTACAAATAATGCATGTGAGACGCCCGAAAACGAAGAACCGAATAGAGAAAATTTGCAGGAAGAAACTTAGCTGCAGAAATGTAGAACATTAGACTGCAAGTCTACACAAAAATCAAAATCGAACGATAAATCAGTCATACCTTCGATATTGAAGGAATTAAAATAAAATCGTTTGAAGCTCAAAAGTATGTTATTTACAAGACAGCAATGTTGTAAAGAAGCCCTGAGTAGTAGGAGAGTTTCACTGAGCCAAGTTAGTCATTTTCAATCCATTTCTATGCTTCGACCCTTATCTATCTTGTTCCTTCCTGGTTTATCATCGACTCTCTTGCGTCTTCCGTTTTAAGAAATACATATTTTATACTCCCCATCAAGCTGACAGTACTTCACCACGCCATAGTTCAAACGAAACTACTTTTAAAAGTGTTTTCGAGAGGATACTTCCAAAGAACCTTGACACGGAGAATCCCACTAAGAGCCAATAAGTGCATATACAATAGTCTACTAGTCTAGAAGGGAAACACATCGAAGAGGACTGTTTTTTTGGGGGGCTAAGGAACCCACTATACCATTGTACAGACAAAATTTTCAAACATATTGCTTCTGGCCCGTGAAGATACCGCGACTTTCGAAAACGAACCCTCTGGGCTGTGCTGTGCTACAAAAGGTGGGCTTAACTGGTTTCTCTAATTATTCTGACAATAGGAAGATTTGTGTTTGTGCTGCGTTCTGTCGAGATGTAGCGAATAACCAAAGGACAACTATAGCCAAGAAAACAAATATCTACACACCTTAATGACAATCTCCGCGTAAGTTCTTCCAGTTCGAGGTGAATATTTTTCAAATTCGCAAGAACAGATTCCTCATCTGCTGCATCTTAAGCAAGGACAGGAAACTAGTGAATAACTACGCTTGAGATATTTGATTTACACGTCAAATTCTCTGAAACAGAGCGCGAAAATACTCGGTCTGTATAAGCAAATCTGGTCTCCCTTAACAACGTTTTAACGATGCAAGAGAAACCAGGTCGTATAAGGTGCTTAGCTTCACTGCGATTCAAATGTTATCGAAGGTTGGAGTCAAGTCGGAGGGGCTCAAGATCTGAGGGGGAGGGGGTTCATATTCAGGTAAAAGACCATCAATTATTTTTTTTTCGTTGTTTTCTGTGGATTGTCTTTCTTGGTTACCAACAAACGCCTTAACTCTTCCAATCCCAAGATATCAACTAGGAATTCTCCTCATTGCCTGCCATATATTCGCCATAGTTTTAGTTCTGAGAATTTGGTATTGGATCAAAAAATAATCCCCCACTTAATAATTTACTGTATTCTCATTACTTGTGTGCTTGATGTGGTGTTGAAAGAGGAAGGAGAAATTATGTCTTAGTCACTCCTGGATGTGAAAGGGTTAAATAAATGACTTCTACTTTACCAGAGTAGACTCACCGTGGGGACGGAAAGCCAGTTTCCGCACAAGCAGCTGACAGTAGTCGGGAAAAATTTCTGAACACGTCGAGAGAATCTAGAAAGTGGAAAGCCGGGAAGAATAACGAAGTTAAACCCAACACTAAAAAATTATAAAAGCCATACACGTCGGTAACGATTGGTAACCTCTGCATGGACCAAGGCGGAATCTCTTCCATTTTGTTGACCATCACGCGCCGAACTCGTGGACTTCTTCAAAAACATAGCATTACATAGATCTGGCGATATGCTGCTTTTCGCCTTTACTCGACGCGAAATTTATGGATGCAGATTCAGAAGAAACGTATTCATTTGCACGAACACATGCAGTGCATACCACATCATATATGTACGCCCGGCCTGTTTGATTCCGTCACACACCTGTTGGTGGCCCTCTTTGCATTCCTCGACACACATTTGGCCAAATACTGACAATAACTTTGCTACTTGGGCGCTTCCTCCAGATCGAGTCAAAAATGAACTAAAAAAAGAACAGAGAACGAAAGCAAAGGAAAACGCCAGTAAGTCTAGTTGAAAGAGAAACTGTCGAGTTATTTAACAAAAATGAGTATAACAACCTTCAGAAAAGAAATTAAAGAAGCAAAGACGGTTTTCTCAACGCCAGGAGGATTCCGTTCGAACTCGAACAGCTTCCTTTCGTTTGATTCTGTTATGTTTCAGACAGTTTCCATCCATGAAATTGGACAAAAGCGGCCGTAATAACATGGTTATTCCGAAATCGGACAAAATCGTCTTAAAAATTAAACAGCTCGGACCAATTTCGGATGGCCCAGTCAATTTCGTTTGTCAATGGTTACTGCGACTGCAACTTTCAATCGACTGTCGAGAGCACGATGCTTTAGGTGTTTCCGATTATTTTATTCGGGTCCTGAGCAGCCTCTTGTAATAGACTCAATCAAATGCTCTAGATGCTCCAGCATTGTTACTTCTGTCTATAAAAGCAGAGCTTGTGCGGTGTTTACTTACCTCAGAACACCCCACGCCACAGCAAAGAATTCTGGATTTTCTACACAGGCTCGAGACTATCGAAAAGAAAACACGATAAGAAGAAATCCTTCAACTAAAAAGGTTGAAGGTTTGGAGAAATGGGGAGAACAAAGAAACGTACAATAAAATAACATCAAAAGAAAATTATCAATTCACAAGTATTTACCAGTTTCCGTGAGGAAATTAGATCCCTTAATTGGTCTCGGGAAATGTATGGCCTCTTGATGGATGATATCTCGATCAAATCTAAAATCTGAGAAAAAAGAAAAAGTGATACAAAAAATTGTTTACGCCGTCTATCCCGTGACCTCATCAAGCAGCGGTTCGCGCAGCAAGCGATCTTTAAACACTTGATGAAAATAGAGGTAGCGGAGCGGGAGTAAAAGAGCCTGGAGTGGAGATACCGTCTGCCGGACAGTTTCTGCGCGATCACGTACAGTAACGGGGCAAGTCCTCCACCGAGAAAAGGACTGGGTTCTGTTAGGGTTGTTTTGATTGTTGAACGCGAAGAAATTGTACATCCGTACTATGGTAATTGATTTGGAAAACACTGTCTTGTTCCGCTCAAGTAGGGAGAAATGTGCCCTGAGTTGTACACAGAACTGGGCGGAAAATGTACCTTGATCGACGGTACAAAACGTTTCAACATTTCAAAACGCTCCCCCGCCTTGAAATAAGCTAAGAAACGGGGGCCAAGTAGAACAAAAGCAAAATATTGAAGGGTCTTTCTAAAACTGACAAAGGAACTACAGTACCTATTCGAGGCGAGAAAAAGCAAAACCGAAAAACCTCAAAGGCCCCAGGAGAATAATAAAGATCTAATCTGTAGGAAAATTCATAACCTGACGAGGAAATTTCGCGAAAACGAATCATTAAAACGAATATTAAAGAAAACGAAGATTACTACGCAACAAATGCTGATACAAAGAATGAAGAACAGCAAAAACAAACATCAGTGAAAAACAAACGAGGATATTAAGAGATATCAATACAAAGAAAGGACAGCTGAGAGAAGAAACAGAACTATTGTGCGATTATTGCTTCGTGGAGTTCCAGTTTGGTTTTGTTTTCTTTTACTTTTGTCCTATTTTTAAGTTTATAGATTATAAAAGAAAGGGCGAGTGGAAATTGATACAGCTTGTTATTTTTTTAACGAAATTAAATGAAATACATGCAAAAATTTCAGTATGCTCCAGAGCCGAGAACACGTCAGCACGGAAAGTTGTTAAAAGACGGGGAAGATTACGAGCGCAATAGCCTTCGTGTGATAATTACAGCTGTCGACCGATACCTAACAGAGAAAGAGTAGAAAAGCTCGAATATTCGTGATAGAGAGCTAAAAAGCTTGACACAAGTTCTTGAGGGAAAAGCCCGACTACTGCGGAAAGAAAGCAAAGGCAAGCGACCGGACACGAAATAAAAGCAATTAAGAAGAGAACAGTCTTATTCTTGCCTGTATATTATTAACTAGTTATCACATAATTTTCTTCGAGCAATTTGCGATAAATCAGCACTCAATTTCAAAGACTACAAGTTGCAATTTGGTCGCCTTTAAAAATTTACTCCTACTGATTTATCCCAAATTGTACTCGAAATCATATGATTACCTATGCTAATTGAATACGTTTCATGTTACATCTAGACAAGTCATGGACTCATGGAAATCGCATTCGTTTGGCGAGATCTATCGAGAACTTCCTTTGAGTTCCTCGCATCCATGGAACACGTCTGGGCTTTCTTTCGGTTCTTGATCGGTTGGAACCTTAAAGTATTTTTCGCCGAAGTTTTCTATTAAATATTCTTCCCAGTCATTTTGCACAGGAAAGGTGAAACCTTCGAAATTTATTCGTTTACGTGGGACGGAAGATCTTTTCATACTAGGCGACACGAAAATGTCAACCATAAGCCCATCATGCCAAGTACATCCGAAGGAAAAACAGAATTTATAGCAACTATTTCTATCCCGTAATCTTGGGTTCCAAGTTGCTTCATATATACCAACTATTTCATGATTGTGGTAACCGCTCGGGTCATCTGGATTCAAAGCTGGATCGCTTACAGAGTTCTGAAAGAAAATGTCTGGCGGTAAATCTTTCGCGGCAAATTGGAAGAATTTCACATATTCTTCTAAAGGCATCTCGATATCTATGTCGTAATCCCAAGGAATGAATCCATGATGTCTTGTAGCACCTAGTAAAGTTCCTCCAAATATCCAGTAGTCGATGCTGTGTTTTTGCGCTATAAGGTCAAAGATCCGTAGCATTCTCGTCATTACGAGTTGCGCCTGTCGGTTGCGAAATTTTGCGTGGTTACGAATATCAGGACATTGGATTGTACCGTCGATCAAGTTACATTTTCCTCCCAGTTCTGTGTACAACTCAGGGCACATTTTCCCCCACTTGAGCTGAACAAGACAGTGTTTTCCAAATCGATTACCATAATACGGATGAACAATTTCTTCGCGCTCGACAATCACAACAACACTTTGATTTGTGGGGGAAAATGTGAGCTTGGAACTAGTCTGCATTAAGGATATCGTTAGAAGACACATTGTAGCTACCAGAAAAATGAACACAAATAGAATCTGTCTGCGTCTCATTGTGAAAGTATGATGAGTTATAGAGTAAGATCACGAAAAGTTCCACACATTCCACTTTCGTTCTGCTTACATTATTTTGATGAACGTCTACACGTCAAATGATATATGAGAGCCTAAATTGGAAAATTAACATTTCAAAGTCGTATTTCCTTCAGTGTCAAGAGATCAAATGAGAATCACGTGTCTCGGTTTGCGTCAGTTTCCGTACTGAGACCTTTCTTTTTTCTTTGATCTTTCTAATCATTTAGCCCTCTATTACTGGCTTGGCAATATTTAATAAGCTGGCTTGTTTCTTTAAATGTGGCACGATCTTTGTTTGTACATGGCATTCTCCTTTGAGCGCCACGTTTGCTTAATGTGATATCAGCTGAGTGTATTTTCGTGGTTCACCATTTTTCACCTGTCAATTTTGTGATTACTTAAGCAAAAAGAAAAAGAATTCGCACAACTTAAAACAAAATCTATTGAGAACACAGTAAGGTGAGTAAGTAACGTGTGAAAAGTCCCCTCAGGAGCAATCTACGGTCGTGAGTGACCAGACGAACAGATATTGGAAACAGTTTCAATGAAATAAATCATGATGACCTGCGGGTAAAAATTCAACTGGGTGGAGAAACGATCGTTACAAGTGAGCTGCAATTTAAGCAATTACAGTGAACAAACCTGAAAAAGGAAACGGGCTTGGACAGGATTCGAACTCGTGCCTTCCAAACAGTACCAGTTGCGCGCTTGACGTGGTTACCAACTGAGCTACGTAGCCTCACGTAATGCCTTTATTTATGAATTGATCATTTCTTCACTTGAATTTCACTTGCAAATCTACATTAATATCGTGATCACATTTTGTACGGGAACGAAGAACCCACAACTTTTTCGGAGCTTCCAAAATGTGCACGGGCTTCGTAGCTCAGTTGGTTGTAACGTCCAAATAGGGGGTACAGGTTCACATCTCGTTGTAACATAAATTTTTCCCCGGTTTTCCTTCCGTAATTGCCGGCAAAGATCATTTCCTCACTTGAATCCCAGGCAGTTCCCACCCTTCATTGGTGGCCCTAAATTGGCCAATAATATGCAATTAGAAATCCGCGCCGCTCTCTCAACCGTTCAGATACAAAGCTAAAACCAATTGCGACACAGTTACTTGCGTTTTCCCGCGCTTAAGGACATTTAAAATGAAATTGTTTCGCGTGATTACATAAAATACCTGAGACTCTGGGCGTGCTTTGATTTGTCGAACACATCTATGTTTTTACCGATAAACCGAAGCTACACTGTATTTTATAAAATCAGAGTTAATAATATTAACTCTGATAAAATATAACAAACTGCACTTGAAAAGTTTGAGCATCAATCGCCTTGGGATCGTGAGTTACAGAGCTAACATTAGTTGTGTTCTCTTGACATAACCCACTTGAGTTATTGCGCCACTAAAGTAATATAAAATGCCTCATTGAAAAAAAACCTCAATCGAAAAGCAGTCTAACGACTTATAATGTGATTACTTGATTACCTCTGATTCAAAGCCGGCTTGGTGCCTTTTCCACAGATTAACTTGTGCATCGTATGATAAAAACAGACCTGAAAAAAAAAAAAAACAACAACAACCAACAAACCGTGAAACAAGTTAGGATGCTAGCATGCATGGTGACAAAGGCATGCGTGGTGGAATTAGAAAGGGTATGAAGAGCGGTAAATTTGGAGCGCAGTCGTTGAAAATGGAAAGATGAAACTAGTTGCTTGATTTTCTCTGTTCTTTTGCCATTTGTTTCCACGTTTGTTGTTGTTTTTTTTTCTGTTAAGTGTATAAGTATTTAATAAATAAATAAATAAATAATTTAGCAATGGATATTCCACTGGGTGGCTCTTTTTGTCCACTGTTTCTAGATCGAATTGGAATTTGGAATGTTGGTTTTTGCGGAGGGAGGAAAATCGGAGGACCTGGAGAAAAACCCTCGGAGCAAGGACGAGAACCAACGACAAACTCACAAGAACCAACGACAAACTCACGAGAACCAACGACAAACTCAATCCACATGTGATGCCAGGTCCGGGAAACGAACCCGGGCCACAGTGGTGGGAGGCGAGTGCTCTCACCACTGCGCCATCCTTGCTCCCCTAAAGTGTATGTCTCTAAATAGTCAAACTAGTCAGATCTTTGGTCAACCCACCTTTGTTGAAAGAGACAGCATGCAAAAACACTTTCGAGACACTCTCAGAAACAAGGAAACCCTCATCGTGACAACTGTAAAATATGGTAAAAATTAGATCTACTATAATTATTTCTTTCTTTATGTTACTTAATGCAGTTTTAATGCTTAAGTGAAAATTCTGCAAACACCCCTGCAAACACCCTACCCAATTCTAATTTTTGGGCATGGCCAAATTAATTTTTTCCCATCAAAAGTGTCAGCTGGAACATTTCATGACTGATAATTCAGAAAGAGCACTAATTTAATTAAAAAAAATTATTACTCCTCCCCCTAACCTTTTTAATTAGTTCACAAAAATCCTTTACCTGGTCACCAAATCCAAACCTTTTTGGCTGCAAAGAATCTTTTCCACCTAAACATAGACAAGGTAACAATTATCAAATTGTCACATGTAGATGCTGATCAAGAAAGTTATATTCAACAGACCAGTGGACAAAACAGTGCATAATTTGGTGGCTTGAAGTTTGTTTATGGTTAAGAAAGAATAGTTCCTAAACTATGTTGAATCATACCAATGGTTTTGCTTGTGGCATAGTTATCAAAGGCAGGCAAAATTCTGACAGTTCCTTTAAGCATAGTCCTGATATTGGTTTCTGAGGATAAAATTCTCTAAAGTGGATAAAGAAATAAGGCAAGAGTAATAAAGTAAATACAAAGATAAAACTGTCTAATCCTAATAAAGGCATTCAATTACAATACAAAATAAAGATTACAATTCACAGCGACTAGTGCAGACCATGTTCTTAGCCCATGCAAGAATCAAATTCAAAACAGCAGGTTTTTTTTATTTTTGCTAAGATCAGGATTAGAATTTGCTGTTTATCCAGTGTGGTCAATCAATGAATCAAGAGCTGAAGTTTGTTTACAGGACTGACACTCTGATGACTGCGCTGAGGTTATCACAGTTTTTGTAGCATACAGCAAGTTCTAATACTGGACAAGAAACTGGGACACTGCAGATAACCCACCAATACCTTTTTCCAATCTCTCTGACATGTATCATCACCCTGCTTTAAGAGAGCAAAGTTGCTTGGGCATGAACACAACACAGTAACACTGTGGAAGGCCTGAGCTCAAATAAGGACCTTTGACTCCAGACTCAAGCCTACTAATTATGGCTATCCAGTGACATCTCATATTCTCATATTTTTCTATTCATTGAATCCATGTCATGAATAAATGGTTGGTGGTTGCATACCTTTCTTCCTCATTCCAAAAAAAGCCTTGTAATACTTCTAAGTCATGACACATTGATGACACCAACTTGAAGAAGAGTTTTAAAATGAAGAAAAGTCATTAAATGAATGTGGCATACGTATCACCTTTACTCTTACTACAAGTCAACAAAAAATAATCTTTAGCCACATAAGAGACTTGGTGAACCAGGCTGATAGTTTCTAAAGAAACTGTTTGGGGCTGCGTCAGTGGGGGTAATGAAATAATTTGAATATATCAACAAAGTTGAAATGGTAAATTGGCCACCGTTAGGATTATAAAAGCTGACGTTTCGACTGTTAGCCCTTCGTCGGAGTGAAGGGCTAACGCTCGAAACCTCAACTTTTATAATCGTAACGGTGGCCAATTTACCATTTCAACTTTGTTGATATATTCAAATTATTTGGTGAACCAGGAACTGAGTGCAAACAGAGCTGGCAGGTAGACAGTAGAGGCCTTGCTCCACCTGGTATGAAGCAGGAGTGTAAGGTGATTTAAACAGAGTGGTCAAAAAATTAAATTCTTCACTTCAAGACCAGCCAAGTTATTGACAGAATAAAAACTTTAATTATGTGAAAATTATTTGGACAACTTATAATTCACAATGTTATCTTACTTACCTTGTTCAACATTATTTCCAAGGACCCCTGAGCTGTGTAGCCCCAAAATTCTCCAATATGGTGCAAGATACTGTTTTTAAGGATGGGTGTGGTTGCACGCCTCAGTTGAGTTTGTACCCAACTCTTTGCCTTTTTGTTTAGATTCCTTTCTTGGACTCCAGAACAGTTTGAAAAAAGTAAACTGCATCTCACCAGAATTGGAAACACTTCATCTAGGTAAGAAAAATAAAGGAATCATGCAATAACATTATACACACTGTTGCAATCAGGAGACACATCTTATGCAGTCAAGACCCTCTTGACACCTTTCCATGTATTTGTCAGGAATAAAATCCATCTGGGAAACCATTAGATAAGGAGTTTTTAATTGTGGGGAAATAGAGATCAATCCTCCTATTCTCCTTAATGGTTTATTGTTTTGTTGTTCAATTTGACTTCATTTGCTTATATGACCTGAAATAAAACTTTTCCTAACTTAATGATCATTCCGACCAGCCAGATCATCTTACTATGTTGAGAGACAATTGCTGATTATTTGCGAGAGCATAGGGAAAACCATATTTTATCTTTCATTAAAAGAACAAGAAAGTCAAGGAATCTTCTGCATGATTAAGCAGTAAAAACCTGATTTATTGCCTGAGGAGGGGATTTCTATCTAGGACTATTGAACACATGTAAGGTTATCATTGGGTCAGGATTATATTTTTTGCCTGACATCTTCCAGAAATTAATGTCATCTTTATCTCCTTTACCTGACAATAAAACTACAGTGTTCTCATATAGCTGTCCAAGAAGTTTCCCAACACTTGGAAATTTCTTTAAAATCGCGTGTGGGTCACCCTTCTGCAAATTAACAAGATTGTAAAAATAATATTAAATTCAGTAGTCTATCTAACATTTATTATATATTGAACTCAAGATTCCTTGGCACCATAGATTAGTTAACAAGGAAGAAGCCTGAATCAACTGTCACAAATAGCAGGTTAAATTGTGATTTTATTTAGTTAAGCTTACAACTACATACTAATAGGCAAGTAACTCTATCTATCATAGCCATCAGACACAACTGTCACAACATAGCAGGTGAATTGCGATTTTATTTAGTTAAGCTTACAACTACATACTAATAGGCTACTAACTCTATCTATCATAGCCATCAGACAGCAGTAGCACAGCCATCAGACAGCAGTAGCACAGCCATCAGACAGCAGTAGCACAGCCATCAGACAGCAGCATTTGTAATAGTACAATGTTACATTATTTTATACAACTACAAAGTACATGTACACTATATACATGCTCTTCTTGGTTTCATGTAGCTTCTCTTTATCCTGGTATGATATTTCAATTCAGAAATTTGAGGCTAAAAATGAAGGGGTGCCCAATGCACTTTTGACCCCTCTATATCAGTGTCTTGTCAGAACTTACTGAGACATCCTATTGTGTTATTTAACAATTATTCCACGAGCGCGCGTTGGTTATGAGATGATAGATAGCCAACGAGGTGTGTAGCGCCGAGTTGGCTATAATCATCTTGTATCCAACAAGCGCAAGTGCAATAATTGTTTTATTAAAAATGTTAAATTAAATTATTAAATTTTATTAAATTTTAAGCTCCCCTTTAATTTTAAGCTGACACGTTTGCTTGCCATATTTGTAGATTATGGTGTATTGGCTGACATACCATAATGGCTAAGCCAATAAAATGTCTTGAATTGCATTATCCAATGATCTAGTTTTTAATAATAAGGATTATTATTTGTTCAGACCAGAAGGGCCCCTTCTTTATTAGGGCCTTGAAGAATCACAGTTTTAAATCCTGAAAGATAGAACTGGTTTGGAGCGGAGAAAATCCTGGACGTACAATGGCAAAACAGAGAGCAACCGTATGAAAGCAACCCTCGCCGCAATAAACCTTACATAATTATGTAGCAGTGGAAATAAGGCCTGAAAAAAAGTTTAGGCCCCTACGAGATTTGAAACCATGACCTCCGCGATACCGATGTAGTGCTCTTCTAACTGAGCTAAGAAGCCAACTAGGAGCTGGTGAAATCCTTACTTGATTTCCTTCCCCCCCTCCCCCCCCGTCTCCGAACTCACCTGGCCCCAACAGCCTAAAAAAATACAAACTAAAGGCAACTCTACCATACCGCTTTGTCAAGTTCCACTTCGAGCTTCTTAAGAAAACTTGATAAATCTTGTAGACTCTCAAATGTGGCTTTGCATTCCTCCGCGGAATTTCCTCGCCCCCATTTTCTAACATTATCATACCACCTCCTCACTTCTGCCTCCATTTCAGTTTTCAAACCACCGCCATTTTAAATGCAATTGACGGAAAAAAACCTGGGTAGGAGTCGGGTAGAAGTTGATTCCCGTAAACAACATACGGTCAGCAGTTTCACAAAAAAAAGAAGTAGAAATCAATATGGCTGCCGTCAGTTAAAATCTTGCAGTACATGTACAAGGCTTTTTCCGCAATGATTCCTTGTTGGAAACATTATATACAAGCAATTTTTGTCTTAATTTTTTCAAAATGGGTAACTTCGACTGGAAATGGAGAGAAAATAGCCTGCCGTGATCTTTTTATGGGACAGTATCCTTTTCAAATCCAATGCCCCCTTAATTAACAGCTACGTCGTAGTGAATAATACTGAAAGGCCTATTTCAATTGGTGCGTAGGGAAAAATATAGAGAAATCTGTTTAATTTTTATTCCTTGACGCTCCTAGATATTTTTGTCCCGAGCCCGAAATCGATTCGTCGACTCAGGCGGCTGTTGGCTGCACCAAGAATCACTCGGTCGAAGGTAGGAAATGAGCTCAGCATATAAAGTGATGATGAATCAAAAAAATTTCTAATGCCGTTCAAAATAGCACATAATCCTTTTAACTTTCTACCATAGTGAAATGCAGCACTGTGCCTGTCGAAAGAGGTGGTCGAAACATTACTGAATGTATTCAAAATGTATCATGCCGTTATACGTAAGTCTGCTACAATTATTGCATTATATTTTTAATAGTATGCTCTAAAAAAAAATTATTCATCGAAAAATCTTGTTGTTTCACTTTCAGCAATGACCACTCGTATGAAACCGCTCTTTTGTTATCAGTCTTCCTTGGCATGTTTGGAATTGATAGATTTTATCTTGGATATCCAGCAATAGGTTAGCTTATCAGTATTTGTGTGGAAGTCAGTTATTAAATTTGTTCCTGATTATAGAATATATTGGTGTAATTAAGTTGATGACAATCTTGTTCTTCAAAATCTTTCAACAGGACTTTTAAAGTTTTGTACACTTGGTTTCTTCTTTGTATTTCATCTTGTAGATGTTATTTTGATTGCAACACAGGTAAATGAAACAGTTACCAGTTGATATATGCAATATTGATCAAGTGTGAAGTCAAAATGGCTGGATACTGGCCAAGTTCTTTTTTTGCATTTGTAAAAAGAAAGACAGAGTCCATAAAAAGGCAAAAAAAAAAAAGAATGAGGCTAATATCCAGCCATCTTGTGTAAACAAGCTTGGTCAATAAAGGATTTATTATATAGCAAAAAGATTTTGCATCAGTAAGAATCAAGAATGACTTATTGTGAGAGTCGGGAAAGAAAGGCAACAGTGTTTGTGGCAAATAAACCCATGGGGGTTTTCTTTGTTTTGATTGTCTTCTGTTGCTTTTTGTGACTTCATCACCAACATTGTCCAAAAGTTACGAACTTTGTAAGTCTGCTCCATGCACTTTCTTTCTTGCACAGGATCAAAGTGGGCAGTCCTGAACTGGCAAGATGGGCCCATCTTGCTTGTTCAGGTAGCCAATTAGAATACAGGATCTACTTCATATTGCCAATGGGTACCGCCAGCCATATAATAAATTAATTTAAACATTAGATAAAACAGTGTAATTCTTTGAAATACTACTTTGTTCTCACTGTCTCATCCCCCACTCCCCCCACCCCCCCTTTTCACTTCGTCCCAGGTGTGTAGTGTCCAGAAACCCAGAACTGTCAGGGAATCCTGAAAAATTAATACAGAAGGGGGAAGGAAAGTGTTGTAACTTTTAATGGACTTGTAGCCCATCTGGGGGAGTAGCCATGCTTTTTAATGTTATCTTCTTTAGAAACTATGATAACCTTCAGCAGATGTACAAGACAGTCAATTTTTCTTCAAAGTTAGCACTGAAGCATCTTAACAAATTATTTATGTCTTGTGTTTTGTTGCTTAGGTGGTTGGTCCAGCTGATGGTTCAGCATATATCATTGATTACTATGGCCCTCGCTTAGATCACATATCTAGAGACTTGGATACATTCAACAAAACAGGAGGTTAAAAAAAAAAACAATATACTCTCCTCTGATTTTCAGCTATAAATACAAGTGTTTAGTTTAGTCGTATTAATGCAAATGAAATAAAATGCTAAATTGTAATATATATATATATATATATATGTGAACTTATTAAAAGTTTGTTACAAATCTTTTTCTTTTTTGTGTTTAGTAGAATCATTTATTTTGTAGTACTGTCAGCTGTACAAAGTCATATTGTAAATTGTAATTTACCGGTTTTGTATGCAATTTGTAATATATCTGAATAAAGCTTTTGGGAACAAATTCTTAACATAGTTTACTACTGTGAAATCTTTGCACGTTTTTCCCTCCGTTGCAGTACTATTTGGGTTCTTTATTCACGTGTCATAACAAGTGATTAATCGCTCATTTTTGTCAATTTGTTTTTTTTTTTTCTCTTGTTGGTCAGCTTATCAACGGCTCGTCATTTACAACTTTTTTCGTGATATTCCAACATCTTGCGTGTTTTTTTACCCCAACCAATTAGAAGTTGCAGTTGTATTGAAATAGTAAATTATATTTACCGCTATGAAAAACGATAGGGTTTGGAATACCCTCCCGGACAGCATAAAGGAGGCCTCCAGCCTTGAAGCTTTCAAAGAAAAACTGAAGATAAACAAACTGATCTTGAGCAGTATATCTTATTCAAAGGAATCTTCATCAATTATGAATAAGGACGATATTTATAAATATTTCTGAACTAATTATTGTAATACTAGTAACTTCTATATATATGTACATATTTCTATTTCTTAAGTGTAAAGTTTTAAATTAGTTAACAGGTCCACATTAGGACTTTAGTCTTGCCTACCTAGTAACCTGCTTTATCAAATAAACCATGTATGTAGGTAGGTAGGTAGGTAGGTGGGTAGGTAGGTGGGTGGGTAGGT